GAGCTATCCCTTTGGTATATTTTTCATATTTATATGAGCTTTCGCTTTTATGTGCATGACTTTACAATCCGTAAAAAAATCAGAATATAAATAGATCCGTATTGTTATGGTTTTGGTCTTTTTACATACCAATGATAACAAATCATTATCGCTAGAAAATAGTTCTTGAAAGAATGTTTACCTTTCTTGTCAGCTGAACTTTGAAACCATTCAAAAAATAATAATCGGAATCATCTTGAAATCATACGAAAGATATTGGTCTTTATTAAGATTTAAGAAGTTTTTAAGAATGATACGGCTATATCCACTCGGTGCGTATGGATGTGTTTACAAAGTTACTGCTGCAAACATAATATAGGTCAAATATCGCAGGGGCCAGTTCTATTAAAGAATAAAATAGCGATAATTGCAGAAGTTTTTCTGTCAAAAAGACTTTATTTCTTTCTGAATTTCTTAACTTTAAAAAGAATTATAAGATGCAGAAACTTTATGAAAGGAGTAGGCAGTGCTCAATGAATCATACCAAAAGTATTTAAGGAAAGTTTTACCCTTTCTCTGACAACGTGGTCTCGTCCATTTTTGAAACATTACGATTATTTCATTACTTTTTCGAGTTAACAACTAAACTATTGAACCTGTATTGTTTTGAGAAAAGCATTCCTTGAACCTGTATTGTTTTGAGAAAAGCATGTCAAATCTTGAAAATATTTCTGGTGGCAATAATTCACATATTCATAAAATGACCAAACACAACTTTTAAAGGTGGTTGTAATGTTTCAATTGGCAAACATTTATCTATTGATAATCCACCTTTAATAATAATAAAAAAAACTTCTTTAAAAAAATATTTCTATCATATTCATCTTGGAATATGATCAAATATGTTAGCATATTTTAAACATGCCTTTAATAACATTTCAGTACTTATGGAAAGAGTTATTCCATTTCTTCCTTTGAAAGGATATACCAATTTTAATTGCAAAATTGTAATTTGATAAATGTAAATAAGAATTAATGCAGAAATTCCAATTTTGTCATTGTAAACCTTCTTTAATATGTGTAAGTAAATTATGAAGCGGTAAAGGATATATAACTAGTTTATAAGTCAAACAACCGAAAGTGAGAAAAAAGATATACCTACTATGCTACATTTGGGGACGGGTGGTAATAAAATCAAATTATTTTAGTTATCTAGGCATTTTAATTTTTAAAGTTTAATTTATAATTGAAATGTCACTTATTTGCATTTCAGTTAATGCACATTGCACATGTATTAAAAATCCAGGTCTTTGTCTACTCAATATAATAAAACTAACATGGTAGTTATAAATAAATGTAACACCAAGTCACAAACATGAAACTTAAGGTGAATCAATCCTAAATCGGGCGCTAATACCACGGCGCTATAAAAATTCCTGGGGAGAATACTGGATTGTATTGTTTTCAGAGTTATATAATACACCTTGCCTAAGAAAAAGGTCTAGCTATTGTCATTTAAAAAAAATGAGGCTATAATGATATAAAGTGACTTATAACTGCCAACAGCCACATTATTTAGACTCTGCTGGATAGTTATCAGACTGTTATCTCATTGGCAATCATCTCCTTATTTTAGTACGGGTTAATTATTTGAAATAAATGACTCACAAACATTAAATCATTTAAAAAAAGATAATTCTGCTATAATTGATGTTGTCATTTAAAGATTTCAGTTTATATATATATAAATATCAACAATGAAATTTGGTTGTATAAATGGTGTCACTATATTTGTAATTGTCAAACTAGTATAACAATACTATTGTCTAAATCTACAGAATTTGATCATCCTTTAAGTAACAGAAATAACAATGTCACTAAGTCACTTATAACTTATCTCTTAAATAAGGACTATGTGGGTGTATCAGAGCTTGCTTACTGCAGGCTCTTCATCATCATTTTGTTAAATAATTCTACAAAGAAGGGGATAGATAGTCTGTTAATGTATCCTTGACTAAGAATAATGAAATTGCAAGAAACAAATTCACATATAATTTTGAATATTGTAGATCGTTCAGGTAGTCTTGAGCTATTTCTTTATACAAAAGAAACAACCAGTTTATAAATAAAGTCATGTTACACCACTGTCCCAGGTTAGGGGTAGGATTGGGATCCCGCTAACATGTTTAACCCCGCCACATTCTGTATGTATGTGCCTGTCCCAAGTCAGGAGCCTGTAATTCAGTGGTTGTCGTTTGTTGATGTGTTACATATTTGTTTTTCATTTATATTTTTGTACGTAAATTAGGCCGTTAGTTTTCTCGTTTGAATTGTTTTACATTTGTCATTTCGGGGCCTTTTATAGCTGACTATACGGTGACCTTTAGTTGTTAATTTCTGTGTTTTTTGGTCTCTTTCGAGAGTTGTCTCATTGGCAATCATACCACATCTCCTTTTTTATATTCACTTCACACACACACATATATATATATATCTTGAAAAACAAATAAAAAGGCCATAGACATTGAAAACAATTCATTTCTATTCTATTGTCAGTCAGCCTACCTACCATGAACTGAAAAGTCTCTTAAGATTCAGTAGGTAAATTATGTGAAAATCAAGACTTGCATCAAAAATATCCTAATATTAGAGACAATGGCGTCATTTTTCCTAAGAGCTTTCAGCTCTTTGATTTTCACTTTATATTTGAAATATTTGCCATTGAATGTTCAGCAATCAATCAACCATTTCCAACATCAAATAAGGATATTCGTTACTACAATATATGCTTTTCTTTTTTTTTTTTTAATAAATTCACTCATTTATACAAACACAACAGAAAGCACCAGATGTGAAGGAAAGATTGCATTTATACATAAAAAAGAATACAGTAATTATTCCAAAATTATTAAACCGTACAACATACCATACAATCACCAGCAACCGACTCCGAGAAAAATAAACGCACAACCAAAGAAAAAAAAACCTAACGAACAAAATATAGTCCAGATAGCCTAATTTGGGCACAGACACAAATCATGATGAGGTTAAACCTATTTATATGCCCACGAGCAGCTTTATTTATCTAGACCATATATTGTAAAAAGTAAAATACTCAATAAAAAATCTGCAAACTCTTCAGTAAACAAGGATTTATTTTCCATTGATTTGTTGCAGTGAAGAATTAAATCAATTTTAGAATTTGCAAGGTAATGGTGGTATATATGGTCTTGTGTGTTACTTTAATTGGATAGTTAATGAAAAGAAATCTGAACCCCCCCCCCCCCCCAACAAAACAAAACAAAACCAAACAAAATAAAACACTATTATATAAATGAAATACATTTTTTACAAAATATTTGTTTGTTTTGACTTTCTAACAAATTATCTATGTAATGCCAGTTACTGTATGCCTTAATATTATTAATATGTTATTAATAAAAAAAAAAAAAAACCATTTTTGAAAAAGGCAGTTTGGTATATTATCGCATGCTCGATCATAAGCATTCTCCACTTGATACATTTTGACAGTGATAAAATGAACTAAGATGTGATTTTTATTGCATTCACTATGAAATTATGTCTAACTTGCTGTCGTTCAAATGACTCCCCAAAAATTTGCACTAATGCAATAATGCTTTCTCCCGGTAACTTGTACTGTCCTTAGGACAATACACACGTGTAAAAACCTAGTTGAATGATTTTATTAAGGACTGTAAAACTTTGTTTTTATCAAGCTCAATTATCAAATGACATCAGATCTGTTACTATATCAATTTATAATAACTGATTGTTATTGGTTAAATTTTGAGATGATTGAATTAAGTTATAAAATATGACGACTGTAATTGAAATCAATTAATAACTTAAAATATAGATTTACAGTGCTAATTTAAATTAATATATAAGCATTCCTATTTTTTAACTCACTAATACATTTATGATAGGGTCCATATCATGTATATATCCTTTTAAATTTAATGATGGCGACAAAACAAGCTTCTATTACTTTATTATGATTTTTATATACATTGATCATGAAGTACATATAACATTCCACTGAGAAACCCTGCCTTTTTAGATTTTACTAAATTCTTACATCTTAACTTATTATTTTAGTATATAGATCTTATTAAATATAACCTCCTTTTAATGTATCTTTTATGCATATTAAAAAGCAAATTCAAATGAAACATATTTTTAATTATAAATAAAACTGAGATACATACATACATGTAAGTGAATCTACTTGTATGGTAGACTAATTTATAACAAAAAGGTCCATGTAAATATGCCTTGCATGACACTTTTATTGTTTATTTATATGTGCTGTACATATGTTGGAAAAAGAACATTTTTGTTTTATCCTTTTAAATTTTAAAGTTAAGGCAAAACTCCATACATATTTGGAGGTGCTCCTAATTAAAGGAGGCTGATACTAAGAAGAAGAAGCTGCAAAGTGTTGACAAGAAACTTATTAGTTACCTATAAACAACATTCGAACCTCACGCTTCTGTTTGTATATATATATACGACCCAATGCTTGAGACTTTTTATAGGTTGGGGAGGATCCTCATAAATGGATACTATCCTCATTCATGGGTATTATACCCCAAAACGGATATCAATTTTCAGTGATAAAAATATAAACTTTGGATTTACAGATGTTTTCTGTCATGGCGCAATCTTTCGGGTTAAGGAAAACATTTTGCATAAAAACACCATGACTGATATATCATCAGGATAAAAGTTAACAGCCTTCAAAAAGTAGAATTTTTGGAGGCCAATATCTTTGTATTTAGTTTTCATTTGAACTATGGTCTTAAATGGAAAAATGTTGCCATTTATATGAATGCATAGTGCCTTCGATTGTTAATTTGAAAAAGCGTCATATATAGTATAAAAAAAACATTTTTTTTGAGTCTTATGCAACTTTTGGGTTTATAGACATACCTGAAAACTGGCTGCTAGCGGAGTGGCTGCTAGCTTGAGCCTAGCGATTTTTTATCACTGTAAATTAATATCCATAAATGGGGATAGTAGCCATTTATGAGGATCTTCCACAACCTGTTTAAATTTGTTCGCATATACACTATTCATTTTAATTTACCTTAGTATAAATAGGCTATTCAAACATTTAAATACACACTCTACTGCAAAATTGTGTACACAAATTGACGATCAATAGTGTTAGACACAAAAATGGAGAGCGTTGAAGTATTGTTTTGGTCAAAAGCAACTGGAACGTTCCTGATTTCGTCAGCCTTGCTTTACATCGCATGGAAAAAAATGAAAAACAAAGCTCCGAAGTAAGTTCAATTGATGTTAACATGTATGTTCTTCATCGCCATAGTAGAATATCAAGATATATAGTAAAAGACGTGTTAGGATGGGATTTAAATACTGCGCTGAACGGTTAAACACAATTAAGTGTGGACTTTCTCTCAATATGCAATTGCATTGAAAGGTATCATCCCGGCGTAGTGTAGTTTATCTTTGTGTTTGATACAATAGTGATCAATAGTAATCGAACGGTTAACGTCGACTCCAAATTTTAAGACGTGCATTGGACTTTCGTAGATCTTCATGCATTCATTAGTATTTGTTTGATTTAGGAGTGCAAAACAAAACTAAAAAAAAATATATGTAAGGGTCAAGAATTGGAATGACATATTTTACGGCCACAAGTCGAAATATATACATTAAAGGATATGAGAAGAATATGTTTAATAGTCAAATAACTTAGTTTATCTGTCCACAAGTCCAACACACAATTCAACAATTTGATTGATTCGTGTCTTGGATGTCTCCATAAAGTTCCGACAACTCTAAATGTTTTTAAACGTCTGATGGCGTGTTCGACATAAACTTGGCATTCTAAAATTCTTCTATTTAGTTTTTTTGCATTGTCTTTTTTTTCCCATGCAGTTTTGTCTTATTTGCTGTCTCCTATATGGCGTAACAATTGGTGGACGGTTCCCATAAATCTTATCACCTAAAAAACACAGTTTGGAGGAAAATCCAATTACAAGTTAGTGCCAATTCTTGGAAGAAGGTTGTCTTGCCGTGCATCGTTTTACTGTTCAAGAAAACCACATTTCACGAGCCGTATGTGATTCTTATTGTCTACTACTATCTTGGTATGAATGCAATCTATATGGTAGATTCTCAAACCTCTCACCAGGGCCTCGGTGACCGAGTGGTCTAAATAGAGATTTACAGTAAGCGTATCGACTCCGACCCGAGTCCGACTACGAGTCATAATAAGACAAATTAGAACATAGGAGATCTATTGATGACGTCATCTCGATTCCATTTTATACGCTCGTTTACGGGACGTATTATGGTATACCGTTGTCAGTCCGTCCGTCCGTCTGTCCATCCGTCAGTCCGGCAAATCAGCTGTCCACACTTTTTTTCTTCATTCTTGAAGATATTGATTTGATATTTGGTATATAGTTTTATCATGACAATTTATAAATCAAGTTCGAATTTTGTTTCGGTCTGACGATAATCAGCGGATTTAGTCCAGAGTTATCATGGTCCATATCTAATGTTAGAGTACTACATTTTGTATGCTAAACCATATTTCTGTACAAAGAGATATAACTAATTTTTTTAAAGACATTCTTTGGTTAATTGTTTGAAGTGTTTTTTATTTTGTATAAATTAATTTTCTGAATGCTATATACATAAAAAAAAAATTATGAAGTGAAAGATAATAATCTATTTTCATTACATTACATTGTGTATAGATAAAAGTTGTTACACTTTATAGATAAGTTACAAATCTATATTAGTTTGTGACAAATGAAAGAAAAAAATATTTGGAACTATTAATTATATTTGATTATAATTTAATTTTGGATGTAACGCGTCTTCTGATTGGCTGACGTTGTTTTGTTTATCAGCTCATAGACATAATTTTGTCATGTGACCGTGACGTCATCAACGTTTTTTCATGGTTTACTCCGATTTAAAATGGAATTTAGAATTAAATTATAAGAAATGACTGTAATATTTTTTCTTTCTATTCGAAAAACATAAAAAATGTGGTGCACACTTTAAGTTACAGATCAAGTTCAAATTTTTGTTTCGGTCTGATAATTTTGTGCAGAGTTATGGTCCTTGGACTTGAAAAATTCACTCATATAATCAGGTTTCCACACTGTTTTAGTCATGCTTGAAGATATTGACTTGATATTTTCTTTTTGTTTACACCATGACAAGTTATAGAACAAGTTAGCATTTTGTTCCAGTATAATGAATTTTTACCCGGTAGGGGACTATGTATTGCCATGCAATACTCTCAGAATGCTTGTTGTGAAAGTATTACAATTCTGAACATATCTGTTAAGGAGCGTAAACGAAAAGGCTCTTCAGTAAAACTGGAAGAAAAATGCAGTAAATTTGATAAATGTTTTTTTTCCGATAACCACGCAAAGATTGAGCACGGTAAAATTAATTAGCTTACACATTATTTTGAGATCACCCCTATAGCTTACATGTCTGGTTTATAGTCTTACTCGTATTCTACTCCCGAGTCCGACAGTTATTGTAATTCTCTAATCGAACTACTGTATCACTAGCCTGTCAACACTAATGCTGTGAGTTCGAATCCGGCACGTGGCAGGTGCGTTCGACTCCAATCTTAATTGACTAGGATTTTTAGTTTTCCTACCGAAGTTCTGTGGTTCTCTCCAGGCACACCGGCTTCCTCCACCTACCGAAGTTCGGTGGTTCTCTCCATGCACTCCGGCTTCCTCCACCAATATAAACTGACCGCCACGAAATCGCGCAATAGAGCTGAAAGTGGCGTTTAACACAAATCAATCAATCAATCAAACCTCTTTTCCAACTAAGTTTATTTTGGCACCTTATGCAGGAATGAAAAAAAAAATAATAGCAAAATCCAGTTAAGTTTTTGATATTCTGAAACTTAAAATGCATTTAAATATTATTTATCTAGGTCCAGCCATGCTTTAAAACTTTTCCAGGTGCATATGTTTGTCTGTACTCAGAGTGAAATTTGTTTGTAAATACGGCCATATTTGCCAAAAGTTTATGATAAACCTTAACACACACGAAAAACCTGTATTTCATTATTGCATTTAAAAAAAAATGGACACTGACCGCTCTAACGAAGGCCATTTGTTGTACCGAAATCTTTTTGACTTTTTATATGTATTAAAGAAAAGTATAAGTCGAAAATGCCGAAAATCTTTTTTAATGTAAAGTTACATCTCAAATTAATCACAAACAATTACACTGTCCTTAACAATAATCTCATAGCGCTCCTACGGGTTTGATATTCATGCATGCAAACAATGAACGTTGTCTCCTAATTTAGGAATATATAAAGCATATTATGAAAGTCTACATCTGTGGTAATTCAAACTTTTGTCATAACTTAGTGTTTTCGATGGAGTCAAATCTTTAAAAACGCATTACACACATTTAATTTGGTTGTTTAACTTTTATCAACAATCAGTTTATGCAAAAACAAATACTAGTACCCGGAACTTCTATTTATATGCAGTGTAATCACACGTCAGATACAATATGATCTGTGTTCCTTTTTGTCATTAAAACAATTGTTTTTGCTTTCGTGTGTAGCAGATTATTGTCTGCGTTTCCGATTTCCATTTCAATAAAATTAATTTTTTGCCATCATGTACAACAGTTTTATACTCTGAATATCGTATGCCACCTGAATATCATATTTCCCTCGAAGTACGTAATTTAAAGTAAAATTTTATTTGGATTCGACATTTTGAAATATTTCAAACATAAACTCTAGCTTCACCTTATATATAAAAATATCTGCATTGACAAACAAAAGAAGCATTTAAGCATATTTCTTGCAAATTAATAATTATAAAACAGCCAACTCTAGTAAACAAAAAGCTGACACTTAAAGCACATATAAGCAGTAAGAAAGTCTATATAAGATGAAATTACAAATTTTCAACTGAATGCGATCAGTACTGATATAAAGTAAAACTATATTTTTTGTTGTAACAAGTAAAAGGAGCAAACGCATGTCAGAACATTGGTGAGCTCAGCTCTTTAATTGGTTATGTTATACTTAAATGTGCATCAAATTATAATGGTAATCAATATAAACTCCAAGAAACTTGACATTTATTCAAACGACGAAATATTTTGCTGAATTTTAATTGACGGATTTTCTGGAAGGTTAATTCACTTACAGCCAAGATATTTATCAGGATTTGTCTGCCTCTTATTTTTTTAACTACTCAGTCAGCAATTGAAAGTCGGCTAGTAATGTAGATAGACTGTCATAATCAGGACTGCTGAAAGACAGGGATTTGTCGTCGGCATAATTATACAAGGCCCTCTACAGAAAACATAGGAAATAACGTTTATGATGACACTAAACAAAAGGGCCCTAAATATATAGCCTTGGTTTAAATACACCCTTTTTGATTACAGCCCTTGAGATATACGATTTAAACTAAAATAAACTGATTGTATGGAAACACCATATGCTAATAATTTATCCATTTGAATATCTTAAGGTAAACAATAAACTCATTCTAGATACCAGGCTTAACATTTTGTACGCCAGACGCGCGTTTCCTCTACAAAAGACCCATCAGTGACGCTCGAATAAAAAAAAAGATTCAAAGGGCCAAGTACAAAGTTAAAACGTATTGAGAACCCAAAATTTCGAAAGGTTTTGCTAAATACAGCAAATATAAGGTAAACTATTCCTGGTGTAGAAAATCCTTAGTATTTCCAAGGAATTTAAATATACAATTCCTTAGTATTTCCAAGGAATTTAAATATACAATTCCTTGGTATTTCCAAGGAATTTAAATATACAATTCCTTGGTATTTCGAAACATTCAAAATTTAATTATCGATTTTGCATTTTTATCTGTAATCCTAATATCAATAATTGACATACTTGGTATGCATAAAGATGTAGTTAAAAATTGCAAGACGTCAATAGGTAGGATTACAAGTGAACATACACAAAAACTTGTATGACTGAGCTCTTTAAACACACACGAAGAACCTGTATTTCATTATTGCCTTTTTAAAAAATATTGACATTGAACACTTTAACGAAGGCCATTTGTTATTATACCGAAATATTTGTGAAAACGATGCCGTTTCATCTTGTTCGGATATAATTATGTATGAGTATCGTTTCAAACATCTTTTAGACTTTTTTATATATATGCATAAAAGGAAAATAGTCGAAAATGCCGAGAATCTTCTTTTATGTAAAGTGACATCTCAAATTAATGACAAACAATTACACTAACCTTTAGAATAA